TTTTTTTATTTTTAAATTTGTCTTAAATTAATTATCATTTTTTTATTTTTTAAAATAAATAAATGTTTTTTTCTTATTTTAATCATTGAAAAATGATATAGGAATACTTTTTTTATATTTTCTTTTTATACAACTATACATGTCATTTAAATAATTGACTCTTAATTTTTATTTATTTGAAACCTATGATGTTAAATACATTTATTTATTTAATAATATATAAAAGTTGTATAAAAAGATTATAAAAAAATTATTCCTATATCATCATCCCTTTAACTATATAATTATCTATTTACTTTAATTAATAATTTAATCACAAAAAAATAATTTTTTAAAGAGTATTATAGGTAAATACAAATATTATTTTTATATTCTTAATTTTAAAAAATAAAAATAATTATTTTGATATAAATGAAATATACATTAATATATTGCTTTGTACTCTTCGGAATTTTTTTTTTTAAAAAAAAAATGGGAAAAAGAAGGAAAGAAGTTCCCCTAGATCAGCCTCCACTTCTATTCTCCATCCATCACAACAAGTTGAGTCGGCAGATTCTTTTACGGAAAAAGGTCATGTCTGGGGTAGATAGAGAGCTTAATTAGTTAGTAGGTAGAATGTTTTGTTGCAAGAATTTGCTGAGTTGACTTTTGATCATGAACTCTAGATCAACATCTAATGGAGTAATAGTCTAGTTTACAGAGAAGAATGGTTTATAAATAAGAATTTGAAATTATAACTTATATGCACCTTTATATCTAGGTAGGTTAAATTTTCATTTTAGTCACTTTACTTTGATAAAAGTTTTTTTTTAGTTATTTTACATAGAAAAGCTTTTCTTTTTGTCCATAAAATTTGAAATCTGATTTTATTTTAGTCATTTTATTTTTTGCATGCATGATACATTGGATTACGAAAATTTCAAAGGAACCAAAAATCAAAGTAAAGAGACCAAAATTAGTCCTTTTTTTGGTACCTTTATTTTAAAAAAGCTCTTTTTGTGCCAATTTCTTTTGAAAGTTATATTATTTAACGTCAAAACTTAACAAAATGACTAAAAATATATCATATTTCAAATTTTAAGGACCCAAAATGTATTTTTTTACATAAAGGGACTAAACAAACCTTTTTACCAAATTAAAAAAAAAAGTCAAATTAGGGTTTTAATAATCTAGGAATATTTACACATCCTGCTGCACCATTGAAGTCTAGCCTAATAGAATGTCTGTTTAATACTTCTATCAATTTTCCTTTAAGGGTGAATAACTACTGGTAATGAACATCCTGAATTGTCATTTCAACCAATCAAACGTATTCATATATATATATATATGAAAAGTAGATACCAACTTATTCTGGTGTATAAATAAAAAGTTCAAATATTAATTTTTAGTTACAAAATTTAAAAATTAAGAGATTATTTTAAAATTCAAGTATTGTATTAAATATTAAAATTTTGAAATGATTGGTTGAAAATTGATGTAATTTTAGCACTAGTGTAAAGTCTCGCTTATCAGTGTTGTTCATGGTGTGTTCCATTTTAGTTATAGTTTTTTTTTTTTTTTTTTTTTATAATTATATATTTTTTGTTTTAAAAATATAT